GGTTCCGTGAAAGTCGCCGCTTAACGGCCGTCTGTGGCGGGGAGTGATGGCCTGCCTCAGGGTCAGGGAGGCCCGAGGGAGCCGCAGTAAGTGCCCCTCACCCCCGGGGCAGCCAGTAGAGCTGCTCTCCTTTGGTTTTCTTAATTGCCAGAGGGCATCCGTGCTGCCAGACCGAGGGAGAGACAGCAGCCCCACGGCCGCCCGGCGGGCACCATGCGCCATCCCTTCTCCACGGCTCCGTCCTGCTGGGACTTGGGGCGTGCACACACACTCCAGGCGCGCCTTCCGAGCCACTAGGGCTGGATTCAAACCCGGTGAGCCACGTGGGACCTGACTCACCTCAGCCGCTCTGCTACGGGGCTGGCCCTCGACTGCAGCTTATCTTCAGTCGGGCCTGGAGGTGGCTTCCCTGTGACACGTCAGAACCACGTGCTGGCCTCTCGCTGTCTGTCCCCTGCCCCTCTGCACCCCATGTTTCTCAGGTGGGGAAACTCAGGAGTGGTCGAACAGGACGCAGTGTTGGGAACTCTGGCTTCCATTTGAATTCAGGCTGTTTACTGACAGCTTGGCGCCCGGACCCACCTCAGCACCTTCCCCAGGCTCCTTGCCTGGACTCTGCCTGGTTTGGGGGTGCCACCTCCCCACCTCTTGTGCAGGCTAGAGACCTGAGTCGTCCTCTCCTCACTCCCCCTCCTGTTTCTTACCGAATTCGTCTCCAAGCCATGTCTAGTTTCTCTCTGAGACGGCTGCAGAACCGCCCCTGCTCGCCCCAAGACCTCCCGCAGGCTCGTCCTCCACTCTCATGGCTGATCTCCACCCACAATCGCCTGGTGTGATCAGCTCTGCCCCGCCCTGTGGGATCGGCCCCACCGTCGGGAGGCTTCGGTGGCGGTGGCGCTCTGTACTGTACTCTGGCAGAAAGCCAGACCCCTGAGATGCTTTTCATTTGTCCAAATATTTGTGGAAGCTTGCAGGTGCCAGGCACTGTGCTGGGCCCTGGGGTACCAGGATGAATGAGGCCCAGTGTTCACCCTGGGGAGCTCACTGTAGGGGGGACCCCACTCAGACAGCACTGCCCTTCGACACAGTTAATGGGCCCTGACTGAAGGGCAGTGGGAGCAGGGATTGGTCAGGGTGCGCGGAAGGCCTTCCTGGGCCGCTCTGTGCTTTCCCGCCCGTGCTCTCCGGCCCACCCCCTCTTGGGCCTCTGCCCACATCCTCTCCTCTCTTCAGGGCCTTTGGCTGCCTTCTTTATAGGAATGCACCTGCAAGGACCAGCTTGTGTCACTGCTGGCCTCCTCCAGGAAGCCTCCCTTGGCCTGCTTCGTATGGCTTTTGTCCTTTACTGCGTGCGTATTCACTTAGCCAGCAGAGCAAATCATCTTTGGGCTTTTCTCAAGGGCGGAGCCCTGTCTAGTTGTGTTCCCTAGGCCCAGCCTAGAACCTGCGCAGCACTGCCGCTCTGTAAGTGCTTGCTGGCGGGGGCCTCTGTTCTAGCTGAGAACAGGCCTACCGATACCGTCCTGTTTTCTGGTGGGGACTTGTTGGCAAGCTTTCTGTCAGTAGCACTCGTGTACGTGGAAGTGTGCTGTGAAGCATGAGGGCTGTGGCAGGGCAGAGAGGAAAGGGTTTGTTTGCTGCCAGATCACACCAGGCCCAGCCAGCCCCTGGAGTGCGGCCACTCCTGCTTCGGTGGCCTGGGGCATCTCCCAGGTGGAACAGCTGTGCCTTGGGTGCCCGAGGCCCCAGTGTTGGGTCGGAAAAGTCAAGATGTATTTTTCTGTTTTTCCATGCAAAAGTGATGACCCAGTAGTTTCCGGCTTTGCATGCAGGGCTCAGCGCGGGGTGAGCTTCCTGGCCCAGTGTCCAGCCTGTCCTTAGTGCGCCCAGATTCTGCAGAATCGCCGCCTCCTTTCCACCTTCTGCCGGAGCCCTGGCCCTACTGCCCAAGGGCAGAGAGAGTAGAGGAAGGCTGTGGGAGTCGAGGGTGGGAAGTGACCCGGCCCCCCATGCTCACGGTTGACTTGGGGAAGCCTCTCCTCTTTTTCTAGCCAGTTTTTGCCATAGGGCAGAAGTGCTCCCCAAAGAGAGTCGCAGAGAGAGAAAATAAGAAATTGCCCCCCAGGGGTCCGGCCAGCGTGCAGCGCCGTCTTCATTCCCCTCCTGGGATGTTGGGCACACATGCCCAGTGTGATTTTCCTAGTCGCCGTCCAGAATTTTGAACTGCGGTTGGCCATATGGGAGTCCAGCACAACCACCATACCACCTGCTGACCCCCAGCCCTAGTCTGATTTGTTTTTAAGAATGATTTATTTGATTTTATTTGTCCACTCTTTTATCTTAATTTCACAAAGAGCGACAGAGAGAGAGAGAAAGTGAGAAAGCAGGCCACCAGGTCCAGGACTTAAACCGTAGCCAGCCGTGTGGGGTGTCCAGCACTTTAACCACCGCGCCCCCTGCTGGCCCCAGCTCTAGTCTCTTATTTATAGAATGAGGGCAAGGGTTAGGGTAAGTGACGGCCTTCCAGGGACCTCTCCTGTCACTCCACTCCAATCCCTTGGAGGACCTTGTCCTTTTTTTTTTTTTTTTTCCACTAGCCCAGGAAAAATGGGGAGCATGGTAGGGGGCAGAAATCACCCCCAGGGGGGATGGCCACACCACAGTCCCTTCTCCTCCATTCTTTCAGGATTTTGGACACGCATGCACATGTACTAGATGGGATTTTTAAGCCACCAGGTCTGCGACTCAAACCGTGCCATGTGGGATCCAGTCCCTCAACTTCCACACCACTGCTGGCTGCCCCTGCCCCCTTTTCTTTAGTTTGCTATACAGTGCACGCACTCACCAGAGAGACAGAGAGACAGGGAAGGAAAGTGAGAAAGCACCCCCGGGGGAGGGACCAATTGCAGTCCCTTCTCCATTCTTCCCTCGGGAGTTTGGGCATGCACACACATGCTCCCAGCGTGTTTTTCAGGCCACCAGTCCTAGGGCTTGAAATGTGCAGTCGGCTCTGTGGACCCAGCCACTTTACCCACCTACCACCTGGCTGGCCCCAGAGGGTCTTTTGAGTCTCTATGAGGGTTTCTCAGGGCCCCCTTAGAATGTAGCCTGCGAGGTGCCCCTCATGGCCAGGGCTCTGGAACCCCACCTTGCCTCAGCCTAAGCAACTTTCTTACATCAGTTTGATTTTATTTCCTCAAAGGCTTCTCTGGCTAAAACTTCATCGAATTGTGGTGCGCTCGCATCGGGCAGTATGTGCAGCCATGCGCCGTTAATTCGCGTGAGGAAGCAGCTCAGAGGTGGCCGCTGGCCCGCGGCAATGAGCTCAGCAGGACAGCAGGGTTGTGAGGAAGTCCCGGGACGGCTCTGCAGCCTACGGGGTGCTCCCGTGATGCCGAGGAGGGAGGTAGCGGGCAGCCCCCTTCGGCCAGGTCTCAGTCTGGCCTTAGCGTTGAGGGTGACCGTCTCGGAAGCCCTCAGACACAACCAGAAGACAAAGCTCTGGCCCTCGGCATGGGCCAGTGGTTGCCCGCAGGTGGGCCAGGGCACGTTAAGACAGCTCCATCCTCAGAGGTGGCCCTGGCCCTTAGTGTGGGCCAGTGGTGTGCCCGCAGGTAGGCGAGGGCACGTCGAGATGGCTCCATCCTCAGAGGTGGCCCAGCTGCTCCCTCTGGCCTTTTTTTTTTTTTTTTTTTAAAGAATTATTTTTATTTAACTTTATTTATTATTTTTCAGTTTGATCAGAGAGAGACAGAGAGAGGGAGTGAGAAAGCAAGTCGCCAGGTCTGGGACTCGAACTGCAGTGGGCCACGTGGGAGTCCAGCCCCTCTAACCACCACGCCACCTGCCGGCCTCCCTGCTGGCCTTTTAAGAGCAGGTTCCTGGCCTCCGACATCCCACCTAGTGGCTGGGAGCTGGGCCGGAGAGGGAGTGCCCTCGTGGGCATCCAATGCGCGATGCCCTGCACTTGGAGCCGGAGACCCAGGCTCTGGCCCCAGCCCTCCATGGGTCCGCACATGACCTTTCTGGACCTGAGACCCGCCCCGGGGAGCGGCTGTTCCTGGTGGTCACCGCGTGCTGAGGACTTGCTCTGTCTATGCTGCTCCCGTTCCCTTTGCACCCAATGTGAGGCGCGCTGTCCTTGCCCCATTGTAAAGCAGATGCTGAGGCCCAGAGAGCGTGTCCTGAGCTCAGTTAGCAAGTGGCAGGATGAGAGCCTGAACCCGTCCCTCTGCCTGCTGTTGTCCCGTACACACGGCTTCAGGGACGGGCTCCCCACCTGCCTCACCAAGTGAGGGTGGAGCTGGAGGGTGGTGAGGATGGCCCACAGTGGTTGGGTCTGTGCCCCAAGGACATCGAAGACATCATCTGAGCCTGATGAGGGTCTGGGTGTGCAGAGACCAGCCGTGCTGTGGATTCCGCACAGGTGGCACCCCAGGGCGAGCATGGGGGGGGGCTCCACGTCATTCACACGGCACTTGCCAGGCTCCCTCCTGCTCCGGGAGCCACGTGACATGGCCGAGCAGCGGTCCCAGCCCTCACGTAGCCCCTGGTCTATAGGACTAGGGTGTCGGGAGGGCAGGAGTCTGGCCTGCGGATGGGTGGGCGCCTTGGGTCACCATAGTTCCTTCGGAAGCCCCAGACTGCCCTGAGCTGTGGGACCACACCTTGCCGTCCCTCAGGGCCAGCTGGGAGGCAGCGGACTGCTCTGTGGCTGAGGGTTGCCACCCTGGCTGCTGTCCAGCCTCTCGTCCTGACCGACTCCTTCTTGTTCTTGCAGGGCTGCCCAGGACAAGCACCCGGAGCCCCTCCGGGGAGTTACTACCCTGGACCTCCCCACAGCGGAGGGCAGTATGGCAGCGGGCTACCCCCTGGTGGTGGTTACGGGGGTGCTGCCCCTGGGGGGCCTTACGGACCAGCAGCTGGTGGTGGGCCCTATGGACACCCCAACGCTGGGGGACTCCCCTCTGGAGCTCCAGGAGGACCCTATGGCGGTGCAGCCCCAGGGGGCCCCTACGGACAGCCACCTCCCACTGCCTATGGTGCCCAGCAGCCCGGGCCCTATGGACAGGGTAAGTCGAGCCTCGGGTCCCTGGGTGGTTGTCCTGCCCCTGAGTTGTCCGGGACCTGTGGTTGACCTTCCTGTGGGTGTGCAGGAGCATCACCAGCTTCCAGCTTGACTGGAGTCAGCAGGGCGAGAAGCCTGTCTGCTGGCTTTGCTGTGGTGACGCGGCTGCCAGGCTGTCCTCGGCTGAGTGACTGTTGTCTCTGCACGTGCCTGCCTGCGCCCCTGCGGGGGGTGTGGGGGGGTGCTGCAGAACTGCTCGGTGTGTCTTCACTCCAGGCCCTGCTGAAGGAGCAGCCGTCTGGGCTAGCCTTGTAGCAGAGGAAAAGAGCAGGAGGCTAGCAGGAACACGCCGTGCTGCGGGCATTCTGCCCTGACTGCCAGGCGTTCCGGCCAGTCATGGGTTTTTGGCCCAAGCCCGTCCCCTGGTGGAGCCTGACATCCACGGGGGGGACCGGTGCTCCCGTCCTGGAGGAACTGTGCCAGGAGGCAGGGTATGCGTGCCGCTGCAGGAGAGGGCGGAGCCCTGTCCCTGTGGGAGGGAGACCGGCCTGTGCGTGTAGAAAGCTGAGGAGGCCTGGATCACTTTGATCTGTCCGTTATTTCAGCTTTTTTAAAAAAGTTTTTATTATTTATTTGTTCCATCAGTGAGAGTGCACCTGGTAGGGTCTCAGTGTGACAGCCAGCCCTGGGTGGTGGGCAGGCACGTGCCCGATGCACTTAGGAGGTCTCTAGACTTGAACTGGGGACCTTCCCGGGTGGGGTCGCCTCGTGTGCCACCGTCTTGCCCCATCTTAGCCTCAGTGTCCACATCTCTACCATGGGGGCAGTGCCCCTACCTCACAGAGCTGATGAGGATTGCATGAGGCAGTGTGAGTGAGCTGAGCACCGAATCAGCCCATGGGAAGGGATTCAAGAGGCCAGCAGGTGGCGTGGTGGTTAAGGTGCTGGACTCCTGCATGGCCTCCCACAGTTTGAGTCCTGGACCTGGCAGCTTGCTTTCTTGCTTTTTCTCTTCTTCTGCTAAACTGCCCTATAGTAAATTTTAGAATAATAGCTAATACAAAGAACATATTATAAATAAAGTAAAATAAATGTTAAAAAAATAAAAAGAATAGCTAATAATAATAATTAATTATTTTTTTAAAAACACGACATTTGATCAGAGGACCTGTCCTGACCAATCTAAGCAAAGGTGGGTTTAGCATTTACTGCGCTGGCAGGTTTGACGAGGGCCTTACCATTAGAGGAGCAGGGGCAGGCGGGAGAGTGGTGGGCCGAGAGAGCAAAAGGTGCTCCACGGGGCACGCTGGCAAGGCCGGTGGGGTGGAGAGACAGGCAGAGCAGTGTGGCTGGAGACCACAGCTTGGCAAGGTTTCTGTGCAGTCTCCTAGCAGTCTAGGGAAGGTGAATGCCAGCCTCTGCTTTGGTCAGCTCCTTCACAGGAGTCTGGGCCACCAGCAGGGCAGCCTGGAGCCACTTGGTGCACCTGAAAGCCCTCTAGGGAGCAGCACTGCTGGGAGCAGGCAGCGTTACTGTGCTGGGCAGGTGGCCCTGGCGAGTGTTTAGCTGGGCTTCCAGGCGCTGTGAGCCCATGTCATGGCTCCTGTCCGAGCCCAGAGCCTTCGGCCATTTGCTTCCAGCTCAGCAGATCTATAGTGGGTCTCCCTCCTTAGGGTCTGCTCTCCGAGCCCGTGTGAGTGCTGGGTGTCCTCTCCCTATGACCTGCTCTCTGAGCCCATGTGAGTGCTGGGTGTCCTCTCCCTATGACCTGCTCTTCGAGCCCTTGTGAGGTCCCTGCAGGGAAAGGAGCCCTGACTCTGAAGCCTCGCCTTCCCTGGCCCGAGCCCAGATGGCCTGGAGCTGGTGCACCTTGGATTCTCAGCCGCCCACTTTCTGCCTTGCCAGTGGGGCTAGAGCAGTACTGTTACAGTGTGACCCATGTGTCACCTGCTTTTAGTCACCTGCAAGGCCCGCTTTGCCCCACTGAACCCAGAACTGAAGTTTGAGCACTGCTGCTCTGGCAGGTGGGGCTGACCATTAGAGATGCCGCTGCCCACAGGAAGGGTCCTGAGGAGCCCTTCTGGCCTGACCTGTCACCGAAGAGCCCAGACTGAGTGCTCGAACACTCGCTGTGTGTGCCACACGTTTGCCTTCTCCAGCTTAGCCCTCCGTCTCCCTTCTCTCCCTCTGTGGAGACCTCCCAGAGGCACACACTCCAGGCCCTTTGCTAAGAGCGCTTTTTCCTTTATGAGAGAGACAGAGGGTTTCTGTTTTCCGTCTTTGTTCCCCTCTCAGTTTGCTTAGGCCGCGTGTACTCACCAGAGACAGAGGCAGAGGGAGGGAAAGTGAGAAGCATCCCCCGAGGGGATGGACACACCACAGCCCTTCTCCTCCCGGGATTTTGGGCATGCACACACACCTGGACAGCGTGTTTTTCAAACCACCGGGTCCAGGACTTGAACTGCATAGTTGACCATGTGGGATCCAGCCCCGTTAACCACCGCACCACTGGCTGACCCGAGATAGGTGTTTTTGACAGGAGTTTCACCATGACAGGGTCCTCGTGCCCCAGCGTCCCTTTAGCCAAGATGACAGGTGCTCAGCGCCGAGCCCAGTGTGGTCAGGCTGGGCCGAGAACTAGACCCGGCCTCCCGTACGGCGTCATTTCCCACATAGCAGGGCTGTCTGTTCTGCAGCAGCTGGATCCAAGAACTTCCTTTTTCTGTTACTCAGTTAAAAGCCCTTACGACCCGCAGGAGTGGCTTCACGTTAGGAGCAAAATCGGTCCTCAGAGGGACTACCTTTACCTGAGTCACACAGGATAGTAAGGATCAGCCGGGACTTGAATCCAGGTCTGCTTCGATTCCAAAGCCTGGGCCCTTCTGTACACACCACACAGACCACGCTGTTAGCGATCCCCTGCCCGGGGCTGTGGCCCTCTTTCCCCTAGACAGCACTGTTTTCAGGGCGGTGAGTGCAGCCTGCCTGGACTTCCCATCCGAGAAGACAGACGAGACTAGCCAGCTCCTCGGTCAGCCAGAACTTTCCCCTGGCCTCACCACTGGCACTGCCCCCGGCTTTCTCCGGTACGTTTGCATATAAAGGAGGCCCTGGGGCTGGCAGGCGGTGTGGTGGTTAAGGTGTTGGACTCCCACACGGTTGACCACGGTTCAAATCTTGGACCTGGCGGCTTGCACTCTCTCTCTCTCTCTCTCTCCCTCTCTATGTCTCTCTTCCTCTCTCTCCTTCTCTCATCAAATTAGAAAATAATAAATAAAATTAAATAAATAAATATTAAAAATAAAATAAAATAAAGGAGGCCCTTTTGTAGCCAGGTAACTCCGTAGGTTTCCCGATATGTGGAACTGGCTCCCTGCTTCTCCACCTTCATCAACCGCCCTTCCCTCCATCCCTCAGCTTGCCTTCCCAGAGAATACACACGCAAACGCACATACATACATACTTACAGACATGCACATGCACACGCACATATTCACAACACATACTTATATATGTATGTGTGCACGTACACACGTGCACACATACATATATACACACACACAGGTGTATACTTATCGGTTATTTAATTAGGTTCAGGCAAGAAATTTAGAACACGAATTTGTGAGGATAAGCTCCATTTGTAAGGGCAGACACAGACCACAGGTAGCCCTGAGCTGAGGAACAGCTTTGATTTTTGGTAAAATGTGTGAGCTTCCTGGTCAACCTTGCGCTGCTCTGAAATCTCATATTTCTCTTTGTGTCGAAGACCTCACCTTCCTGGTGTCTGGGCTTGCACGGCTTCTTTTTCGTGAAGTAAGCATCGTAAGGTGCTCTGGGGCTTTCGCTTTGTGAACACCAGTTTTCGTGGAGGTGGCGATGGCAGATCCCTGGTGTGTTGTACGCCGTGGCACTCGCCTGCGGACCGGCGGTCCAGTCCCAGGTAGCAGCCGCTGCCCGGCTGCTTCAGGAGAGTGGTCAGCTCGGGCCCGGAGTGGGGCTGGCTCACAGCTTCCTCACGTGCTGACTGGAGGGCTTTTGCCATGGCTCAGCAGCTTTCAAGGAACATCTTCAGTAGGGTAATACCTAGGCGTTTTGCGCAGCTCAACCGCCCGGGTACCACCATTCTTGTTCACGCCGACTGGTTTTGTGACAGTGGCAAGAACTTCTCCTTTATCTTGCAATCCTGGGTTTGCTGGCCGAGTGTTTCCTCTTGTACAGGCCTTCCTGCTGGATTGGGGGTATGTGCTGATGCCCTGGACTCGGATGGGGTTTTGGCTGTAATGGAGCTTCCCCTTCTTGGGCTTTTTTAGCCTCGGGGTCACCCCCTTTTTTTTTTATAGAGTTTTCGCTATAAGGTGCATGTGTACTGGAGACACAGAGACAGAAAGTGAGAAATCACCCCTCGGAGGGATGGCCATGCCACAGTGCCTTCTCCTCTTGGGATTTTGGGCATGCATGCACATGCACCCAGCGTGAGTATTAAGCCACCGGGTCCGAGACTCAAACTGCAGTTTGAGTGTGTGTGACTCCAACGTACCCATTTCGCCATCTGCTGGTCCCTGGTCACCCTCTTAACCTTGTCCCTGGCATCAGCCTTCTTGGCTTCAGGTTTCTTAGTGTGCTGCCTCTCAGCTTTTCCACCTGTCGTCTAGTGGAGTGGGAAGGATCCCGGAGAGTTCTTAAATGCTGGAGGGGACAGGCCACTGCTCCTTAGAAACAGGCAGAGAAGGGACCGAGGCGCTCCAAGTCCTGAGGACTCAGGGAGCAGAACTCAGCTGCAATTACTCGTCCACACTGAGGACGTGCCCTAAGCCTGCCAGCTGGGTGGAAGGCGGGGTGGGTGTGTGAGGCTCTGTGGGCAGGGGAGACCTGGAGCCAGGTGCTCGTTCCCAGCCTCTCTGCAGATTGGGCCTTGAGACCTGGCTCCGGCTCCGACCCCTTCTGCAGGGGGCGGCCCTCCCGGCGTGGACCCCGAGGCCTACTCCTGGTTCCAGTCAGTGGACTGCGATCACAGCGGCTACATCTCCATCAAGGAGCTGAAGCAGGCGCTGGTCAACTCTAACTGGTCCTCGTTCAACGACGAGACGTGCCTCATGATGATAAGTGAGTGAAGCCCTTCTCCCTAGGCTGGCTGGAGCCGGCAGAGTGGCCCGACAGTGGGCAGCCATCCTGAGGGGAGAGCTCTGGGCCGAGAGGACCTCAGGGAGGAAGCTAGTTCAGATTCCCTGCATTGAAGCTCTTCCCCGCGGCCTTCTCCAGCTCTAGACCCTGCTGAGTTCCGGGCTGACTCGGCTTCCCACTCCCGAATGCGGAAGCAGACTCCGCCCTGTGGGGCAGGGCAGCAGCCGGCACGGGCCAGGGTCCTGGGGTCAGTGCTGAGCCTGCAGAGAAACGCATCCTGGACAGGGTGTGGCCGAGGGTGGTCCCGGAGGGAGGCGGGCGCACCACGTGACAAAGGTGTCTTGGGTGAGGCCCCGGGCTCCAGCCTGTGCTTTGTGGAGGCTCCACTAGCCTGGGGAGACAGCTGCTTAGCGGGGCCGAGGACCCTGGGCTTCAGTCTCAAAGCCGTCCCCCTCTCCCTCCGACCCGCAGACATGTTTGATAAGACCAGGTCTGGCCGCATCGACGTCCATGGCTTCTCAGCCCTGTGGAAGTTCATCCAGCAGTGGAGGGGCCTCTTCCAGCAGTATGACCGGGACGGCTCGGGCTCCATCAGCTCCTCGGAGCTGCAGCAAGGTGAGGGCTGCCGCAGGGTCTGTGGGCAGGCAGGGCCAGGCTTCCTCATTCCCCGAGACACACCCCAGCTGTCCCTGCACTACGGGTGCTGTGCACGGTGCGGGCCGTCCCTCCCCACCAAGAGCTGAGGCAAGACCAGGGCAGGGACCAGAACCCGCTCTGGGCTCCCTGGTGCTGGGACTCCAGCGGTGCAGGGCCAGGCGGCCCCAGGTGGAGCTTAGGGAGGGCGCTTGGCACTCTGAGGCACGTAGAGACCAGTGAGCTTGGCTCTGGTTCTTCTGTCCAATTCCAAGCATGTAGGATGGAAAAAGCGCTGCACAGGGGCTCAGAAAGAGCCACCTCTGCCAGAAGGCAGTCTCCCCAGCTTTGGGACCCGGAGCATTCCACCCAGGTCGGATCCAGCCAGAGACGCAGCCTGGGCTCAGGCCGTCAGTTAGCGGGCCGGCTGCTGATGGAGTTGGGAGAACCCAGCGGGAACCTCTGCCACCCGTGCCTGGGCCGCAAGTTTCAGAGACTGAGGAGGTCCGTGGGGTGGGGTGCGTGTACCCCACGGACAGAACCGATCCCTTCTTTTGCCAGCTCTGTCTTGGATGTTGGTAAGGACAACACCGAGAACAAAATCCTTACTTGTCGAGTGCGCGTGTGCTCCAGGCGCTGTAATAAGCGTCTTTAGAGCCTCCCGTGGTCTCTCTTCCCACGTGCTGGGCGCTGTTTATTACCCGCCGCTCCCCTCTTACAGCGGAGAAGACCGAGTCACTGAGTAACTTGCCCAGGGGCCTGCCCAGCAAATGGAGAGCTGGGATCGTTGCCTGGGCGGGCAAGATGCAGAGGGCAGGGGTGGGGGCGATGGGGGAACCCTTCCAGTGACCTTGGCATGGCCCGCAGAGTCGACTGGGGAGGGGTGGGGGTTTCATTAAAGTGGCTCTGAACAGGCCTTCCCTGTGTGCCGGGCATGAGCTGAGTGCTGTGTGCGCCAGCTCCCAGCCGGCTCCCACCGTGAATACTCCCGTGAGGGTTGACAAGAGGAGGCCGTGCGGCTGAGCAGCTCCCCCAGCCTGCCCTTCCCTACAGTGGGCCCAGGGCACTTGTCAGATTCTCACAGATAGACCACTGTCATTTCTGGGACCCCATGAACCTGATAGAACAGACAGTAATGGAGGTTTGGAGAAAGAGATGGGGTCTTCCAGCTACGGGGCTGTCCAGGCCGAGTCCCTGCTGTGCCTCTGACACCTGGGCAGACTCTTGGGGCTTCTCGGTGGTCCTCATGCTCTGGCTCTCCTCGCAGTGTCCTCAACGGCCGTGCTCCGGCAGCTGGTCGCGGAGGTGCTCACGGCAGGTTTCTGTGTCTGTTCTGTGCACCTCGCTCCCCAGCTCTGTCTCAGATGGGCTACAACCTGAGCCCCCAGTTCACCCAGCTCCTGGTCACCCGCTACTGCTCCCGCGCCGCCAGTCCCGCCATGCAGCTCGACCGCTTCATCCAGGTGTGCACCCAGCTGCAGGTGCTGACCGAGGCCTTCCGGGAGAAGGACACGGCCCTGCAGGGCAGCATTCGGCTCAGCTTCGAGGACTTCGTCACCATGACTGCTTCTCGGATGCTGTGACCCAGCCCCTCCGTGGGGGCACCCGGGACCTGTGCTGCTCCTTAGCGTAGGAGCGGCATGTGGGCCTCTGCTCTTGTCCTGCCCCTCCCTTCCTGGTACGGCAGCGTCCCCAAAAGGGCTGGGAGTCTCGTGTCACAGCCGCCAAATAGTGGGCCAGGCAGAGGCCACAGGCTGGGCCTGGCCTAGGCTGGCTGGAAGGTGGATGTCCTGTCAGCCCTGCGCTGACCTAGCCTTGCAGCAGGAGCAGGAGCGGCCCTTCACTGCAGTGGGGTGCCTGTCCAGTCACCTGGGCTTCGGCCTCTGCCTTTCCCTCTGCCCTGGTGAGTGGACACTGGCCTCCAGCCCTGACCACCGCAGACCACTTCTGCCAAGTAGACCCTGACCCTTCATGGGACCATGAGCCCACGGGCACCACACCCACGCCCGCACCCACATGCCCTTACTTCAGGCCACCCGGAAGCTTTCTGGGTGTCTTCGGCCAGCTACTGCCCTCCGTAGCGTGGCGTAGCTCGGCCCCTCACTTGCCTGCCACGCTCCGCTTGGTTTCGGTCCCCAGGGACAGTTGTTACCGCCTGCTGCCAATGTTCTTCTGTTTCAGATGTTTTGTTTTTTTCATTTGGGGCCAAAAGTGCAGTGAAATTGTGAGCTTTAATAAAAGGACAAGCGTCTGGGGTGGCTCCCCCACCAGAGCGCCCCAGCTCCAGGCTGTACATGGGCATCCCTTTGTCCACTCGTGTGCTCTGTCGTTGGGGAGTGTGCGTACGTGCTCTGTGAAGCAGCAGGAGGGGGCACGGCCCTCGGGACCGCTGTCACACGCCAGGGGGCGGGGTCTGGTCCAACGGAGGGGAGCTGAGGGGGCGTCTCTTAGCCCGGCAGGGCTGGCCTGGGCTGGAAGCAGCAGCCCCGAGCCTCACAGATCGGCCTTGCGTCATCGTTGGCCCTAGCTTTACCTCCCAGGCCAACTCCGCTTAGTCCGCCAGAACTCGTGCTCTTCCTGTGAAGCTAGACATTGGCACGTACCACGGAGCTTTAGGTCCGTGTGTTCCGGTTCTACACCAGTACTCCATGATGAACCGAAAAATTCCACCCAAGGCTGAAGACACCGGACCTTCTGGTTTGCCAGGGGCCCGATCATGGGGTGTTTGGCGGTTCTGTGGATTTTCCAGGTGAAGAGGAGCGCTCTGAGGCCCCAAACAGGCCCTGCTCCCTGTGATCGGTGGGAGGGAAGGCGGCTGTGCCCGCCTGCAGGCCAGGGAAGCCCAGCGGCGTTTCAGGCTCAGTTGGGCAGCCTGTCATCTGGGCTGGGTCCAGAGCCCCAGAACGAGATGCAGCTGGGTGCCTAGAGCTATGACTACCTGCAAGGCTCCCTGGGCGTCTGGCCGGCTTCCTGCGACAAGACCCAGTGCCTTCTGGGTAGTCTGCCTCTTCCGGGACGGCTGGCAGCCCCTCTCTGATGTGGGTTGTAAATCCTGCCATCCTGACATCCACTGGCTCTGCTTTTCTCCCTTGGACCACCCAGGATGGCCCTTGCTGCTGCATGCTGGCCTAGACAGTGGGGCCTGCCACCCTGCTCCCCCAGTGCCCTCTCCCCTGAGAGCCCTGGGCCCCTCAGCAGCTCTTAGTGGGGTCTGCTTCCCTTGGTACCCAGTCACCACCTCCGTTTTCTCTGGCTCATCAGAGACCCCCAGAATGGACGCCTGAGGCGCCCCAGGGCCAGCTTCAACCCCAGAGTGGAACTGTAGCCAGTGGAGGCAGTGCCTGCCCTTTGATCTCGGGCCAAGCACCTGCCCAGTGTCGTCAGTCAGGGCCCCGCACCGTTGTGCTCAGCAGGGCTGAGGAGCCTTCGCCCTGGGCTGGCCCTGGTGGCCACAGGCGGTTCTGTGCCTGGGCCAGCCCTCACAGCCCTGTGCACACTGCACTCCCAGCCCTGCCTGTGGGCCTCACGGGCAGCACTGGCTTCTGAGGCCAGTGGGGGTGGAACCCATTCCTGCAGCAGCTGCCCAGGGGGTGGGGTGTGCAAGAGGGGTGCAGGAGAGCACTGACAGGCCACGCCTCCCGCGTCCTGGCAGAGGGCGTGCTTCTGCACTTCCGGGCTGGGCTGGTGGCTGGGCGCTGTCTGCCTTCTCGGTGTGCAGCTCCGTTGGCCAGTCAGGCAGACCTGCCCGTGCATACATGCTGGCCTCTGCTGGGTGTCGTCCTGGGCTGCAACCAGGTCAGGGCCTGGCTGCCCCGTGGTCACCTTGGGGGCAGCCAGAGCACTTCTGGCCAAGTCCGTGTGGCTTTCTTCCTTATCCGTGAGTTCATAGACACAAATGCAAGCCGTGGTTTCCAGGAAGGCGAAGATAGCAGTCTGCCCACCGCTGTCTGCCCACCCTACCCCTACCTTCGACAGGCGCGTGGGCCCGAGCGACAGTGCATCCAGGATCGAGGTCCTGGGCGTCAGCACTGGCACCTCAGGAGGAGGCGGCAGCGTGCGCGGGGCCTGGCTGTGAGCCCGCTGGTGTCCAGCGTGTGGGTCAGGTGGGAAGGGCTGGCGGCCGGAGTGTTCCAGGGCCTTCCCTCCCCTCCCTGCAGCTTGGCCCGGCCCTCCGCTGCTGGCCTGGGCAGCACAGGCTCTGTGCAGTGACGTGGCGGGAGAGTGGTCCCAGTGCAGTGACGTGGCGGGAGAGTGGTCCCAGTGCAGTGACGTGGCGGGAGAGTGGGTCCCAGTGCAGTGACGTGGCGGGAGAGTGGGTCCCAGTGCAGTGACGTGGCGGGAGAGGGGGTGCCAGCGGGGCCGTGGGGGGAGAGGGGTTGCCGGGCCTTTCATTACGTTGCTTCTGGCTGCCGGCCTCCAGGCCTGCCAAGTGGCCACAGGGAGAGTACTCTGTGCCCACAGAGCCGGCGCCCCGGGGAGTGCCGGGGGAGGGTGTGTGCTGCTCCTGGTGGATGGGCCGGGCCAGGCGGCCGACAGCTGGCCAAGTACAGTCCTGGGCTTGAGGAGACCCCGGGCCAGACTGAACGCCTGAGGGCCTTGTGCGTGTGATGTCACAGACTGGTGTGTGGGAGGAAGGCCACGCCCGGCCGGTGGCACAGTGGGTGTGGCCAGGTGAGAGCCCGGTGGTCATGAGCTCCAGGCCGCCCTCCCTCAGGGCAACACTGTGGTGACGCCGGTGAGCACCACGTGCTCGGAGACTCTGGAGACCGAGCAGCGGCTCTGCGGGGACAAAGACTTGTGCCTGGCAGAGGTGCGGCGACTGGGGGCCTTCAAAGAGCCACAGGGACCCAGGCTAGGCAGGCAGCAGGAGAAGGCGGCCTTAAACTGCTCCCGGAATTTGCCTTGATTGGGAGACAAGAGATAGCCGTTGAGAGACAGGTGCTGCGGGAGGCCTGAGTCCAGGGCCGCCCAGGGCCACCCCGGGCCACCCAGCGACGCCGGGCCCAGGGCCACCCAGGGCCACCCAGGCACCCAGGGCCACCCATGCACCCAGGGCCACCCAGGCACCCAGGGCCACCCAGGGCCACCCAGGCACCCAGGGCCACCCACCCAGCTAGCTGCCTGCCAAGGGCGGGAGAGGGGTTGGGACCCGGGCAGCCCAGGGCAGCTGCAGGGGAGCTGGGGACAAAGGCGACTGTCTCTGACTCCTGGCTGCGCTCTGGCTCTGCCTGACTCGGGCCTCAGGTCCCCCTGCCCTCCTCGACACGTGACAGGCCTCGCTCTGTCGTCAGGCCTTCCCATCTCCCTACGATGATGAGAGGCACCAGCAGCTGCTACACATGGGGTCACGTTGCCAGGCACCTCAGCCGCCGGCTCCCAGGGCACCCCACACCCCAAGAGGCTGCAGTCCTTCACCCTGACTTCACAGAGCCCCTCAGTGCAGTGGCTTGCCCTCCTGGCCAGAAGCCAAACCCACATAACTATTGGAATGCCAAAGCTCTTCTCCAGGGGAGGGAGCCGGTCGGTGGAGACCCCACCCCTAGTTCAGGTGTGCCGAGGAGACCTTGGTCGTGTGTCACCCTGCCAGCCCCCTTGCAGCACAGGGCCAGGCTCACAGCAGGTTCTCGGTAAACAGGACAAAGGCTTGTGTGGCAAAGGCTTGGGAGGCCGCCTGCCCCTGCCTGCCGTGCCATCTCATCTGAGCTGAAACCGCGGCCAGCCCTTGGTGAGGACGTCTGGTCTCCGCAAGTCCTCCTGCTGCCCTCTGACTCTTTCCAGCTGTCAAAGATCCTTGTGTCCAGGCTTGGACAGGCGTCTGGTTCTTCAGAAACCTGGTTCCAAACGCTCCTGCTGCCCGGAGCCTGGGAGGCCAGGCCAGTACCCTCTGAGACGGGGCAGTAGGGCAGGGGTGGGAACTGGGTAAGCAGGGGGAGGCCCAGGATCAAGTGGGGGCTGGTAGCCTCAACTTCAGAGAGGAGAGCGGGAGGACTGGCCTGGCCACTCTGCCAGCATGTGTCCAGAGCCCGGGCCACCTCTGCTGGTGACCTTCCTTGACCCCAACACCTAGGCAGGGCTCCTGGGCCCTCTAGGGAAGGCGCACCTCTTCCCACGCTGACCCGGGAAGCTGGGCAGGAGGCCCTGTGGTGCATGCCCACAGGGCGCACGTGAGCAGCCTGGCCCTGCCCCTGCGCCCACTCACCAGTGTGGAGTCCGCATGGCGGTCCTGCACACAACCGCGGTGGCAGTGTGGCCTGCCTCCCACTCAGACCAGTGCTCTTGGGCGGGGCCGAGCCTTCGCTCGGGGGCCCCTACGTCCTCCCCACCATCCCTCCTTCAGGTCGGGGTGGGAGACGTGCTCCCCGTCACCCGGGCCGCTCACCACTGAGGAAGCTGTAGATGACGGGGTTGGCGGCACTGTTGGCGTACACCAGCCAGTGGGAGAGGGTGAAGCAGGCGTAGACGGCTTCGCGGTCGTGGGCGTGGCGGAACATCCCGAACACCCTGGCAAGGTGGACAGTCAGAAAGGGGGTGCGCATGGGTTTGCTGCTCACAGAGCTGGGGCTCCCAATGCGAGGGTCCCCTGCTGCTCTGTCCTCCAGGCGGCCTGGACTGCAGTTCTAGGTGCCCAAGCACAGAGTGGCCAGAGTGGGCCGGGAGCAGGGACCAGGTACCCCTGCTCAGCCACCTGCCATCCGACCCTGGGGGCCCTCAGCCCCTACCCCACCCTTCCCCACAGCAGCACGGTGAGTCAGCACCCTCTGTTCTCACATGGGCTCAGGGGAGTGACGGGACATGAGCCGGCCACACGGCAGGCAGTGGCCTCTCGTGCCTGGCCCGGAATGCCGCCCCTCCGACCTGCGTGCCTGGTCCCTCAGTTCCAGTTTTGGCTCACAGGTCACTTTCTCTCTTTTTATAAAACCGTCATATCTACGAGACAGAACTCTGCGTTACTGCTGCTCTGGCCTGCCCTGTGTGCTTTCCTCGGCCGACCCCCCCC